GGCGCAGCTGGCACGGCCAGCGGCTGGCGCACTGCGCGGCGAGTTCCGCAGGCGCTCGCGCGCGGCCGCCCCCGCCGCTGCGCGCCGCAGGCTGGCCGCGCGCGACAGGCCGACCGAGGGCGCGGGCATGCTGCTGGCCAGCTGCGGGCTGCGGCCCCGGGCGGCGACGGCGCGACCCGCGGGGGGGTCGGAGGGCGAAGCCTGGTCAGCCTGCGCCGATGGCGGCCGCGGCTCGGCCTGTCGTGGCCTCGCAGCGCCAGCCGAGAACGCCTCCTGGGCGGAGGCAGCGCTCGCGAGGGCGAAGCCCGGTGGGCCTGCGCCAATGGCGGCCGCGGCTCAGCCTGGCGTGGACTCGCACTGCCAGCCGCGAGGGCCCAGCGGGCGGAGCTGGCGCTCGCGCTTCAGGTGGCCCCAGCGCCCGCCGACATGGCCTGCACCTATCGCGGAGAGCGCGATGGGCCTGAAGGCGGGGCATGGGCGACGTAGGCGGCGAGCGCACCGCCTGGCTGAGCTGCGCGGCTGCAGCGCGAGGCGCGCGTGGTCGCGCGCAGCATTTTGCCAGTTCTCCGTGAGGAAGGAAGCTTTGGGAGCCCAATTGATCGGCAAGATGTGCCCTTGCCCATCATGTTGTGATCCTTCTTGTTCTTCCTGCATCAGTCTCTTGCCCAGGTTCAAATGGTGGATTGGAGATGTACTTCTTGTAACCATGGTGGGAAGTGTGATTATGCGCCGGTCAACTGACACTGCAATCGGGATACGAAATGAGAGAGAGCCAGCCGGCCGAGGGACGGGGGGGCGCTCGCGCCTTTTTTCCTGATCGCAGCCAATACAACTGCAGACATGCACATGCTAGTGTCGCTGAGGCTTCGCAGGGGCGCGACTAAATCAACTCCCCCCGCGGCCTCCCCGGCGAGCTCCACTCGCGCGGGTGGGCGTCAACGATTTGCCAACGCCCCGAATTTGTCTATAAAGCGGCCCGTTGCACCGCGCCGGGCAGGCAGCACTCCCTCCACCTGGCTCACAGCGCTCTGGGACACTCAGTGCATGGCACCTCCTTGCCAGGCGGCTCACTTCACCCACGGTGGACGCACCTGGACCGCGATTGTTAGTCTCGAGGGGGCACCTGCGGCATAGCCGCGTTCCCCTCCTCGTTCTCTTCCTATCACCTCCAACTGCGGTCGTCGCGGATCCAGCTGTCGCCATGCCAAATGCCTGAGCCCCGGCTCCAAGACGACCGCCAGTTCCTGGCGCTCCCCTGCCACGGAAGACAAGAATCCGCACTGTGCTGCTCCGCGTCGGCGCACGCACACCGCGAGTAGGCATCCCCCATACGGCGCCGCGCGGCACCTGCCTCAAGGCGCCAGGGCGCGCCCAGCCCGAAGACTCTGGCCGCGGGCGGTCTCGCGGCCGGCGAGGAACTTGAAGAGGCACGCGCCCCACTGGGTCGGGTTCGCAGCTCGGCGTCGCCTGGATTATTGCTGACCATCTGGCGCACGACTGCTTGGCCTCTCGGCTCCCTTGCCATCGCTCTCGCTCTCCTTGCCCTTGCCCTTGGCGCCGTCCGACATTCCTGCTGCCGTGGCGCGGCCCTCAGGCATTGGAAAATTCGGCGTTCTTGCCCCTTTGACAGACGGCCCACGAGAGGAGACGCCGGACCCGACATTCACTCGAAATTTACGCCAATAAATCTTCAAATAAGAACTTGAAATCCAATTTCGCTGAACATCTTCGACCTCTTGCGGGAGCCAGTTTTGAAGCGCGCAGTTTCTTCGCGCTGCGCGGCGCCAGCGTTGGCGCTTTTGATCAAAATTGCGCCGGCGACGATGCCGATTGCGCTTAACGGGAGGGACTTTCTTAACAGGAGATATCAGCGTAGTCGGTTGGTGCCCGCGCCCTCGCTTCACGCGCCTTCGGCATGGGAGCCCTCGGGAATTCCACCTGCGGTCAGTGATCCTGCCTCCTGTTCCATGGCAGCTTTCAATGGACTAAGCGGTTCGACTTCCTTGGCCCCCGGGGACGTCGCGCACCATGCGGACCATCCTACGCTGGGCTCATCACAGCGACGTTCAGCTGGATGGTCATAGTCCCAATCAAAGGGCTCTAGGATGGCATAGCCTTCCCAGCCCATTACCCTCCTGCTGACGCACGGCCGCCACACCCACGGAGGAACTACCGCATCCTGCCCAGTTGCAGGCGTTGCAGGCGCCCTGTGGCGCGCTTTCTGGAACCTGATGCACCTGCGAGCCAACCTCCTTGTCTTCTCCAGCTTGCAGGGATTCCGCGGCACAGGTAGCTTGTCATCTGGGGACGTGGGCAACCAGGCAAAGACCGTCATGATGTTGCTATGCAACGCAGTCTTTTCCTGCGACGCATTTTCCCTGCGGGCGGTTATGCCCCCAGCGCCAGCGTCCTTCCACCCGCGCTATGATCTTGCCTGCACACGGTCGGTGTCGGAGCCCGTCCACTTCCTCACCGTAGGGTCAGGGACACAGCCCTTTCG